GACTATAATCTTAAAGTACTCAGTCACTTGCCCTTCTCTCTTGTTTACATCTTAATTAACAGTACAGTGGACTATCTGCTGCACTCCCTAGATAATGTTCACTTGCTGACACTTGAGTATTTGGATAAATCAACAATTCTCCTTCGTTTGGATCATCAGTTTGAATCTGATGATCCTAAAGAGTGGTCTGCTCCTGCATCTGTTAAACTAAGTGTAAGTATTATTATTAAAATGGATTATGCATGGTGTCTTGAATTACCTAAAGGATTTATTTGTTGCATTTAAAATCAAAGAAGTAACAGAGCTAGGTTTAGGAGGTAATGTAGCTTTATCTGATATAAAGAGACTACAATGGAAGACAGTTGAAGGTCAAACAGGTATGCATATAGACAGACAGTATAAAGTATTATGATTGTGTACATGTATTTCTAGTTCCTAGTCCTATGAATTTGCCTCCTGTCACTGCTCCTGATTTTACTGTATCATTATCTCCAATGATGATCCGTACTTTTAATGTGACAGTTGACTTCAGTGGGGATGCAAACCTTCAGTACAATAGTTATGATAAAATGCTGTAAATTGCCACAGCTTCCGTTGTCCTAGTAACAGTATTCATGCTGCTGCTATTCTGTATTAGTACACGTACGTGCTTCACTGTTTCATTTTATCATACATGAAAATGTTAATAGGACTCCTGGTTTATGTTTATTATTATAGTGAACAGTTTTTATAGGAATTTCTATTTATATTTTTTTATATTAAAAAGCTGAAAAATGTGTGCATCAATTTTAAAAAGTATTGTTTTACATTGAATTTACTGTGATATTAGTGACCCTAAATAGCATTGAGTCATCATCACCAAGATATTGTGTGTTATTCTTTTCATTATATGCGAGTTGTTCGTGTGCCAAGAATTCCGGGAATCCGTATCCATTAAGAGCTCTTCCGGTTACATTATACCATGCTACACGGCTGCCATATGTCTCCTTGGGATCTGTGAATTCATTAATTCGAATCACTTTCTCAGCGTGATCTTTATTAGTGTCGCGGCAGTTAACAGCTTGGAGTGTGAACTCTCCTCTAAATGGAAACTTGAGTTGATCATCATTTTCTCCTCTGGTGAGGTGAGCAAAGATGGATACATTCTTCCCTTTGTTTCCTCCTACTCCATTGGGATACACCATGAAAACAAACTTGTAACCTTTTTCGTGTGTGTAGAAAGGCTCGCTGACATAACTTCCGTTGGATTTTTTAAGAGCAGAAAATTTGTTGACTCTAAATTCAACGACAGCAGATTTGCCAGTAGGAGCTTCACTGGGTACTACACTTGCACCTTCTGGTTCCATTTCTACACCAGCGACACGGATCCTAATGCTATCGTTTTTCAAGTGATCTTGGAAGAGAAGGTCCTGTGGTACAAATGTTGCTCCTCCCTGTCCAACGAAAGCTGCAGTCCCACTGCTTATCTGTATTCCATTCATTACTCTTCCAGTTGCCTCTGGGTTAGAATCGTCATTAAACTCGATATCCCCAGAGAAGTGATTTTCATTACGGTTCCTGTTCAAAAGCTCTAGTGTTACTTTTCCTCTGACTGGCCATTTTAAGACGTCATCGTAATCGCCTCTCATCAAATGGATGTGAATGCTGAGATGTGTTCCACTTCCTTGTGACTCTCCATTTGCTCTGACTCGTAGACACAACTTGTATCCTTTTTCGTGAGAGTAGAAGCTTGGACTGTACCAATGCTTGTTGCTTTTTTGATGAGAAGCAAAAGATGTCATCAACACTTCTACTGGTAGAGTGTGTGGCTCGCTATCTCTCCAGTCATCATGCAATGTTGGGACTCGAATTAATTTTATGTCTTTAACTATCAAGATCAAAGAAATGATAATAATGCACGAGCTATAGTTTATAAGCATACTTTGAGCTTCATATTTTTCTTTTTCTCTTGTCAGTGCCTCATTCTCCATCACTGTTGCTGATTTCATTTTCTTTACAGTGTTCAATTCACTTTGCAGCTCTTCTTTTTCCACTGCCATCTTCTTTTCTTTTTTTTCCATGATAGTATTAAAAGAATGATGATGATGAATGAATGCTTACTTTCATTGGCAATTTCTGTTTGAAGTTTTTCATATTCTTCCTTCACTTTTCTCAGTGCCTCATTCTCCTCCATGATCACTGTTTTCATTTTCTTGACAGTGTCCAATTCCCTTTTTAGCTCTTCTTTTTCTGCTGCCATCTTCTCTGTTTTTTCTCCTGATGATAAAGAGAGAAGGATAATAAATTGATGCATTATAAATCTACTTACTCTCATCAGCAATGTCTGTTTGCAGTTTTTCATATTTTTTCTTCATTTCTCCCATGACAGTCTCTGCTTCTTTAATAATGCTCTAAAGTTATGAGTAGCAGTGCTGCATATACTTACTCTCATTTTGTAGTGTCTGTACTTCCTGCTGAATCAGCTTGTTTGCCTCCCTCTCCTTTGCAAGCTCATGCTGAGTTAGCTCTTCAATTTGAACTAAAGACATTAACTGGTTCTCTTTGTCAGTTAGTTTCTCTAGCAGTTCTTTCTTCTCTGATTTAAAGCTACTCAGCTTTTCAGCTAAGATATTTCTCTCAGCAACAATTCTTTTAAAATTTTGCTCTTTTTCTTGATATTCTACACAAATAATACTATGCATGCTATATTTACATATGATTACATACCTTTCAGTTGTTCAAGCAAAGCTTCAGTCATTTGATCTGTTGCTGATGATTGTGCAATATTTTCCCACTTGGAGCATCTTTCCTCTAATTGTAGACACTGCCTCTTTTTCTCTTCAAGTTCCTCTTTTATTTCCTGCAAATTGACTATAAAATGGTTCCATAAAACGACTCTAATGCCTTGTAGTATGGGATACCTGTCTCATCTTTAGTATCACTGGCAGTTACGTCCTCTTCAATTCCTTCCTCTTTTTGTGGATAACGTTCTGCAGTTATTGTTTCCTCTTCTTCCACTTCCTAAACAAATACACAATCATTACTCATGAGCACATTATAATTTAGATCTGTTTACTTTCTCTATTGATTTTGCTATTACTGTCATGTATCCAATGGTTAGGCTGATCATGCGATGCTTCTGGAGAAACTCCATGTTCTTTTGTGCCTTGTAAATGGCCAGAGGTACGAGCGAGTGTGGAATATGACACAGAACAGTAACAGAGCCTCCATTTATGGTGTGAACAATAATATCTTTAGCAATGTCCTCAAATGCTTTGTTTAAAATAAATTTGATATCTTCATAAGAAAATTCATCAGGATCCCACTTCAACGTAAACTCTAATCTCTCACAAAGGAGTGGCTCAGTATGATCACGGGATAGATACACTGGCAAGTGATTTTTAAGACTATCGCGTATATCATCTGTAAAACTTTCAATGCGCTTCTCATATTTCTTTATATCTTCAAGAACATCATCGCAGCCATACATACCTGCTATACTTTTTATTATTTCAAGGTTTGTGCAGCTACTAAATTCTTCCTCCACAACTTCAATGGCTTCTTCCACATTTTCGCATTCTTTAATTCTTTTCTTAATCTTTTTAATGTTCCTAAGGAAACTTTTGAAGTCCTTCCACTGCGGGAGCTTTTGAAGGAGTTTCGGTCTTATTTTACTTAGGAGTATAGCTAATTCACAAGAAAGCTTATCAAATTTCTGTTCAAATGTAGGAGAGACCATTACAGGAGTTGAAGCTATACAGACAATTTTGAAAACCATACATTTAATACTTAGATTTACTTACGTTTTTCTTGAAGTATGTCCCTCCCAATTTTTCTGGTTTCATTAAACAACATTAGAAACTTACCAAGGATGATTTCTTTTTTACTATTGGTATTATTCTTAAAGACCTGTATTAATCCTTTTATCACTTCCTTCCACGTCGTGACGTCCTTCAGCCAACCAGACTCATCCTCTCCTGCAATTCCCTCAGCTTTCAATTGTCCCACCAAACCTGAGGGTATGTCCCCAAGAGCTGTGAGTTGATCATCGGACAGCAACTCAAGGACAGTTAGCTCTTCTGTCACTAACGGAATAACATGAATGCTTAACATAGAGAATAGCAGTACTCTACCTGGTTGTAGACCAATAGACTTTCTAATCCGTCTTGCTGCTGATTTGTCAACTGCAGCAATGATGTGTAGAAATTTATCCCATGTAGGCTCCCTGCTGTTTCTCAGCCAATAATCCACACATTCTTCCAAAGCAGTAGCATCATCACCATAATGTCTCCTCATGTACCTGTCCTTATCGTCTTGTTTTATCTGAAGACGGCGAGCAACTTCTCTCCAGTGCGTAAATCTGAAACCAACACTGCTAAGTTGATTTATGGCGTTGTTTGTAGTTAATGGTGTCTCGTTTTCCCCTCCTATCATTCAATTAGCATAATTAAGAAGAAATAGAAAAGGACCTTTACCTTTAGTGGCCATATCTAAGAGGCTAACAACGTGGATATACCACCCTCTCTTCCAAAACACACCCTGCTTCAGACCACAAGTTTATACTGTTCAGTGCTTTGCATAAAGAATGACCTCTAGGGCTATAATGCAAGGTCTGAAATCATAGAATAAAAAAGCACACAGAGATTAACATCAAATAATAATGTAGTTTATAATGCATTAGTGAAGCTAATTTTCAGTTTTGGCTACACTGTATAAGGAGACAGTCATAATTTTATTGAAGCCACCTCCCCAAGTCTCCCACCCACTTGCAGTTTAACATGGCCGTTAAAGGAGGAGGTGAGCTTCTTTAAAACACTATGCTTTATCAAGTATTTTTCCACACCTGCAGGGGTCCTTTTACTCTTTATGTTCATTGTGACATTACTCAACCCTGTCCATGGATTTGAGCTACAAGTTAATGCTAGCAATTTCATTTTTAACAAAACATCAATCAGCATTGAACTGCACAGTGAAGCCCTTGATGTAACAATCCCTATTGGGCCAATACTCAATCATGAAAGTGCTTCTAGCAAGTCCGGTGACATAGAAAGCAGTAAAGGTAGTCAAAATGAGGCGTGTGCTATGGTTATTATAACTTTTTATAAAGGTGCTATTATCACTTGGACTGTTATTCTCATGGACAACCAACAAGATAACTTCACTCTCACTCTTCAAGGTAAGGCTAAAGAACATCTTGTTATCAAAATAATTTAAAAATGGAATGCCTTGTTGACACTTTGTAGCTCAAAAGGTGTGAATATTTCATTATTTTTATTTTTATTAGAAACTGTTCAAAGCAATGATACTTCACTAAGTTTGACTATATATGGTACGATTGAAGAACCTCATGTTTGGTCACTAGGAACTGGTCTGGAGTCAAGGAAATGTCAAACAAAAACTTTAAAATGTGCCACAACCTCCGAAACTAATCCAGTTCTTGTGTACGACGAGGCATTGCTTAAGATTGTTAACTATTTATCTGATCCAATCAGTGTCAATCAACTGTCAGCCATTTGCTACACGGTAAGGATGCCTTCTTAGTTTTAATACCGCAAAACCTAATAATTAAACTTATTTTAATAAAGCATAGGCCTATGCCTGCTTAAATAATTATGATGATATAAATTTCTTCAGTTTTTAAAAAGGAATTATTATGATTTTTGGCAAACAGTTTGTTGATTCTGCCAATCGCACTTTTGTTAACATCATTTTTATAGCAATTCGTTGCCAATGCTAAATATGTACTATTATAGATACTGTCTATAGTAATACTAAAAATATAATAGCTATAATATATATATAATAGCTACTATAATAGATACTATAATAGCTCTTGCATTTAAATTTGTTCCAAAATTTTGGTCAAAGATCATAGGCTATTGTACAGGGTATTTTGGCAAAAATGACTAGGAGAGAATTTATCATTTTTATAATTTTTTCTTATACATATACAAGTTCTAATGTTGTATATCAAGTTTGAACTGATTCCGATCAAATTTAGATTTTTTACGAATTTTTAAAGTTGCTCAAAAATCAGGCCAAAGTCCCTGTACTATGGTCTCGGGCCAAATTTTGGCAAAAATGACTAGGAGAGAATTTATCATTTTATAATTTTTTCTGATACATATACATGTTCTAATGTTGTATATCAAGTTTGAACTGATTTCAATCAAATTTGGATTTTTAAAATAAATTTTCCCAATACTCAGTACTACTACATTGCCACTTCTTTTCCTTTCTTCTCCCTCTCTTCTTATAATCTTTTCTCTCATAGTGTAAAGACATTTATCTCACAACGGTTTATCCAAATGAAGTGGTGTACATTATAACTGATACTAAATATAAGATAACATTTCACTTGTTCCAGAATAATAGTCAATATTTTGCAAGGTAACCCACTAAAAAATTTGCAATCATAATCAATGTAGATTTTGTATAGCAAAAAGTTAAATTTCTAATATTCTAAATTGACACATTTAAATGTATTTTTTATATATTTTTAGTCACTCAGATCATTTTAATGAGCACAGCATTCAAACGTGGACTGTATATGATCTGTCAAATACCACCTTCATTCCTGATGAAGACCACCCAGGACAGAATGCTAATCTACGTATGGTTTCTCCCACTTTATTTGACACTCATCTTTATATCTGCTTTAAAAAATATAAATAATTATCTCTTCTCTTCTCTCTTTCTCTCTCCCTTTAGCTATCCTTTATGTTGCTATTGTATTGCTTGGCAGTTTTAGCATATGGATAATTGGTATTAATGTTTACTAGTGAGTCACTGTGTGTTTGTATGTGTGTGTGTGTGTGCATACATGTACATGTATTTATGATGATTTTTGTTTGTAGTCAAATGAAGAAGAAACGTCTTTTTCATTGTAAGAGAGTGGACAGAGAAATCAGTAAAGTGAGTATAAATTTATTTTTTATTTACTTATTTAATTATTAATAATAATTATTATTAGGATCTTGGGGATCCCGATAAAGTTAATTATGGTGCGCTAAACAACGGAGAAACTGCTAACCTGGTAGCAATAAACTTCCTATTTTAAATCACTTTCTCCCTTCCTCTCCTTCAGTTGGATGATCAAAAAGAGAAAGCAACTACAGACTTATTAAATGAAGATCCACTGTCTACTAGAAAGAAAGAGAGACTGAGATCATTAGACACTTTCAGAGGGTAAAGCAAAGTGTACATGTATACCATTATCACTCCTCTCTCTCTCTCTCTCTTGACTATAAGGATGTCTTTGATCATCATGATATTTGTTAATTATGGTGGAGGCGGTTACTGGTTCTTCAACCACAGCATATGGAACGGTATAACAGTTGCTGATCTTGTCTTCCCTTGGTTTGTTTGGATAATGGGCGTGTCCATTGTCTACTCTTTTAAAGGACGAAAGAAGGACAGTTTTAAATTGAGACTGTACCAGGTTGTGAGGCGTAGCGTCATACTACTGGGTCTGGGACTGTTTCTTAATAATGGTAAGGGGTCTGGGTACTTTTTGAATTTTGAGACATTGTTTTAGCTCTAAATTATGCACTGCAAGGCCTCAAATTTGTAGCATTCATCTTTTTCTTTTTACTTTCTCTCTTTTTCTCTCAGACCTACTGTTAGTGCCTTGGTTTATAGGCACACTCTGTCTATCTCTCATTGCCTCATTCACTAATGCAAGGCTCCCCTCTTTCTTTTACCTTATGTGTAAAGCTTCACTCCTAGTATTGTGGGCTGGAATATGGGTCTGCCACGGTGCGTGAAACTGACCAATCAGATCGTAGATTAATGTTGCTTTAGCTAACCATGCATTTAAAAAAAATTGAATCTATAGTTAAAGGAATTGAGTCTCGTTTTAATTGCAATTACTAGTAATTTTTTTATTTTCTTATTATTATTTTATGTACGTGTACGTGTAGGATATAGGCTAAGTCATTGGCGGATACCTGGTGTTCTCCAGAGGTTTGCTATAGCTTATTTTGTTGTGGCTATGACTGAACTACTTGCTCCTATGGTTTACAACAAGTACAAGGTAATATAGTCCCAATACCTTATCATATTCAATGCACTAGCTGTAAGCTGGTGATTTTAAAGGGGGAAATTTTGACGAGTTTTTGTTACTTTGATAAAGCTGCATACTCAATGGCAAATTTGCCAAATTAAAACCTGCCAGACATTAAGAAGAGTCAGAACTATTTTGCCAAAATGTTACCTCTCTGAACTTGTTATATCATCGTAGTAAAAACACTTATATTATATTATATTCTTTTCAGCTGAAGTGGGATGTGATATCAGTCCGTGATCTCACGCACAATTGGGTGCAATGGCTAGTGATTGTGTTTCTGGAATCATTGTGGCTAATTATCACATTTTCTCTGAAGGCTCCAGGATGTCCAAGGTATGGGTGGGCTATGGCCGTTGTTTTTATTCCTACTATATAATGTGGTTAATCATTCTAATCTCTAAGATAAGCAGAATTATAGTATAATAATGCATTTTTAAGGTTTAAAATAATCTTTTTTAATGTAGGGGTTACCTTGGTCCTGGTGGTAGGGCTGATGGTGGTAAATACAGCAACTGTACTGGTGGGATTGCAGGTTATATTGACAGCTGGATACTAACTGATAACCACATATACGGACACCCAACTTGCAAGGCAAGATATGCCCCACCATACTATAAGACAGTATTTGTGGTCTTTGACCAGATTTTTGAGTAACTTTAAAAATTTGAAAAAAAATCCAAATATTATCAGAATCAGTTCAAACTTGATATACAACATCAGAACATGTATATGTATCAGAAAAAAATATAAAAATGATAAATTCTCTCCTAGTCATTTTTGCCAAAATTTGGCCCAAGACCATGTGCTATAGTACAGGGACTTTGACCTGACTTTTGAGTAACTTTAAATTTGTAGGCTATTTATCATACTGGTAGTTACGATCCTGAGGGCATCCTTGGATCCATTAATTCAATTGTCATGTGCTTTTTCGGAGTTCAAGCTGGAAGGATTCTCATCCATCACAAGCAGTTTGGGTCCAGAATAGTGAGATTTGTTGTCTGGGGACTGCTAATGGTCAGTATACAGAGAAACAAGAGAGAGAAAGAGAGAAGACATCAAATCGATATTATACTCAATTTATTATAAATGCAAATTATAAATAATTATGTATCTCAATATTGCATTTTAAAGGGTGGACTTGGAACCATACTGTGTGAAGCCACTCTTAACAAGGGAGTCATTCCGCTTAATAAAAACCTCTGGTATGGTTTTTGTTATTATTATTATTATTATTATCATTACTTTATTTCCTTGTTCATTTTTAAGGTCACTTTCTTTTATACTGGTCATTGCTGGACTAGGTTACATACTCCTTGCTCTGTTTTACTTTATCATCGATGTTATTAAAATATGGAACGGGGCGCCGTTTTTTTACCCAGGTACATGGATACTAAATCAAATATTATCTTCTTCATGATGACAGGAATGAATTCAATACTAGTATATGTTGGAAGTGAGCTATTGGAGGGAACCTTTCCTTTCGGTTGGAAAGGAATGGAGGACTCCCACATTGAGTTTCTCATATCAAACGTCATCAGCGTCTCCCTGTGGTGTTTGGTGGCCTACTACTGGTACTTTATTAATTTTTTTGTTAAGATATGAGTGACAGTGAAAGTTAGGTTTATACGTGTGTTTTATTTTGTATTTTTCATAAAAGTTTATGCCAATTATTAAACTGCTATGACAGTGTGTGCAGTGTTCAATTCATGATTACATTGCATTAAAAAGTTACATTATTTACAAATTTACATTATTAACCTATTTGAGACTATCGAAGTATCAGTACACACACCTACTGTCTAGACACATGTATATACAGTTCTGGGAGATATAACATTCCTCTCAAGTCATCCAGGCCTCTTACCCACATGTGATAGTTCTTAATATAATAGAGAAATCTCTTATAGACAAAGTATGGAATTAATTTTTAAAATTGATAAAAAATCCAAACTTGAAACTAAAGGAGGGTTAAATCACCAAGAACTGTATATACATGTGTCTAGACGGTAGGTGTACCAATACTCCGATAGTCTAAATTAAGTAAATAATGTAAACCTGGCTGTGTATAAAAGTAAACTAAGTGCTAGTTACTGCAGTTATAGAAAGCCATGGAAGCAGCTATTTGCTATAGTCAAACTTCAACTGTCCAGCAAGAAGATGGAATGAAGCTACTAAATCAAATGAATCCAAAGGAAGGAGATGTTCTCCTTGATCTTGGTTGTGGTACTGGTTTCCATGCAAGAGATGTAGCTGAGAGAGTAGGAGAAACAGGACGAGTTGTTGCAGTTGATCCTGATAGGAGCAGGATTGAAGTTGCCAAGAACGCTCTGGACAGCAACCCTCCAACCAATCTTCAATTCATAGTTGCCAGTGACAAGGACTTTCCTGCAGATGACATAAAATATGATTATGTTCTCTCAAGTTGTGTGGTTCACTGGATCAAAGACAAAGAGAGTGCTTTCAAAAGGATCTACAACAGCCTCAAACCAGGTGGAAAGTTTGGATTCACTTCGCAGGATGATCCAAAGTACCCCGACATTTTGATTGAGATGCTTCAACTGTGTGGCCCTCAAGTTTTCCAGGAGACAGCACAGTCAATACATTGGAAGTCTGCAAGCTACTACAAAGAGTTAGCAGAATCCATTGGCTTTGAGGTGACACTTATGGATGTTGCTGAGAGGACAATATCCTTTCCTGACATTGAAGCATTCATTAATTTCTTCTATGGGGTTTTCCATGGTAAGTTTGATCGTACTCTACCAGCTATTGACGGCATTCGTGAGAAGTACAAGGGACAATCTTTGATGGTAACTGTTCCAAGACTGTCAGCAATCTTGACCAAGCCTCTTAACATTTAATGAGAACAATAGAACTTAGTTTGTGAATGACAATGTAAATGATCTAGAATTTTTTCGTTTTGATTTAGTAATAATTTTATAAAATTACAATGCAAGAAATACTAATTTTAATGATAGTTACAGCAGCAACCAATCAAACATGCAGAATGACAGACCAACTACCTGCACACACTAAACACAGAGCCAGCTAATTAAATTAAGTTTGTGCCAATTATTAAACCGCTATGACAGTGTGTGCAGTGCTGAGTGTGTTCAATTCATAACTGGCTTATATTAACATGCAATTCAAAGAAAGGATATAAGTTAATTAAGCTCCAAGAATTGTACAATTCTGTCTAAATAACATGTAATTCAAGGCGAGGATATAAGTTAATTAAGCTTGAAGAATTGTATATACATGTATATGACTACATGCATGTTTTTCTAAACGATAAAGCTACCAATAGTCTAAAATAATGTAAACTTGGCTGTGTATAAAAGTGAACTAAGTGCTAGTTACTGCAGTTATAGAAAGCCATGGAATCAGCTATTTGCTATAGTCAAACTTCAGCTGTCCAGCAAGAAGATGGAATAAAGCTACTAAATCAAATGAACCTAAAGGAAGGAGATGTTCTTCTTGATCTTGGTTGTGGTACTGGTTTTCATGCAAGAGATGCAGCTGGGAGAGTAGGAGAAACAGGGCGAGTTGTTGCAGTTGATCCTGATAAGAGCAGGATTGAAGTTGCCAAGAACGCTCTGGACAGCAACTCTCCAACCAATCTTCAATTCATAGTTGCCAGTGACAAGGACTTTCCTGCAGATGATGCACAATATGATTATGTTCTCTCGTCCTTTGTGATACATTGGATCAAAGACAAAGAGAGTGCTTTCAAAAGGATCTACAGCAGCCTCAAACCAGGTGGAAAGTTTGGATTCACTTCGCAGGATGATCCAAAAATGCATGATGTGTTGATTGAGATGCTTCAACTGTGTGGCCCTCAAGTTTTCCAGGAGACAGCACAGTCAATGCATTGGAAGTCTGCAAACTACTACAAAGAGTTAGCAGAATCCATTGGCTTTGAGGTGACACTTATGGATGTTGCTGAGAAGACTTTCTCCTTTCCTGACATTGAAGCATTCATTAATTTCTTCTATGGGGTTTTCCATGGTAAGTTTGATCGTACTCTACCAGCTATTGACGGCATTCGTGAGAAGTACAAGGGACAATCTTTGATGGTAACTATTCCAAGACTGACAGGAATCTTCACAAAGCCAGTTAATGTCTGATTTCAAGAAGAAATATTTTAAAATAACAATAATATGATTTATTTAGTGCATTAGTGATCATGTGAATTTGTATTTTTTGGTTGTAGCAGATGATTTTAAAAATTTGGCACAAAAAAGCAGTAATTTGAACACATGCAAAGCATGCCAATCAATGATTACAGTGCAAACATAGCTACTTTAAGTAATAAACATGCATAGTATCTTGGTACAACTTATCAATAATTAAAATTTCATTTGTCATATGGGTTTATGTCTAATGTACAAGCCTCTAGGTCCAGGTGTCTGTGTAAAAAAGGCACTGTTGAAAGGATAGCCAACAAACCCTTCGTCAAAAAACACAGTATGCATCAATAGTTCGATTGACGGCATATCACAGCAGCTGTTAGCAACGTGCCTTGAGTCCTCCATATTCAACAACAAATGTATCAATAGTGTTAAAATGGCTGACCTGGTCCCACCAATCACACCAATATTGAAAAGTCCATAAGTTTTGTATACTTCATTATGTGGATAGTCTGGGTAGCATTTCTTGTAGGAATTGGCTTGTCCGTGGCTCCCTACATCTGTAAAGAAAGGAACATCCAGTCCGGTGTAGATGTAGTCTCCAATAAAGGACATTGCCACTGATGGATCTCTAAGGAATTCTACATCTCTGATGTCTGTAGCTATGGCTAGGTTGATGTCGCTGTTCCTTACTAAATAGTCATAAATGAAATAGAATCTCTGATCGTTGGCTATCATTTGACTTGTTGGTTTGATATGAATGGTTTCCGTGTTATGATGAAACTCTTTAAGTCTTTGCTGAAAACCTTTACTCATAGTGTCATGAAACAATACTATATCTAGTCCGTGTTTAGAGGCAGTGGTGAACCAACTAAAGATATAACGGAAGCTATTTGATACTGGGAAGATCCCGTACTGCGATACATAGCTAACACTGACTAGGTAAGCACCAAGTGTTACATTTCTTGTTTTTCTTTTAATATATTTATTATATTCTTCTACCCAATTATCAGTTTTTGCTAGGTGGTCACTAGGTGTAAGATATTGTTTATTATCAGTGAAGCTAGTGCATTGGTTCATGTCCCAAATGTACTGTTCACTGGTCAGTGCTTTCTCAATAATACTGCACACGTCATTAACATACCATTGTCCTCCAGTTGATTGAGTAGTGTCTTCCAATGGTTCATGTAGATTAGACACTCTAATTATAGCTGATGATGACTGACTGTACACTGATGACAGAATGGTCTCATATGATGTCAACCATCCTTTCTCTAGTAGTGTCTTCCAGTAGGAGACCAACACAACTTGTGGATTGGATTTCATATTCATCAATAACGACACAAAGTTCTTCAATACAGAATGAACAGTGTCATCATTTCTTTCCATCCCATCTACTCTTGTTGGTACATATATGACAGCTTGAGGTGAATGATGAGACAATAATGACAGCAGACTCTCTTTTCTTGACAGCTTAACTATTTGTGTTGGTATCCTGTTATCAATTAACTGAGACCATCGATACCATTTCATATCATCGTTGTTCACATTGATCATATCTTCAACTCCCAGCACGTGATATCCTCTTTCATGTAAGTACATGGTCAGTCTAGCTCCAATGAGACTCATTGCACCAATGATGAGTATGTGACGTTGTTTGTCTAATATTAGTCCATTGCTGATACTACTAATGACACACGATGTAGCATCTGAGGAGAAGGAGGTTGATACATTAACGTGTGGAATCATGGCATCAGCCTTCAATGGAAACTTCCTATCATGATTATGATATATTTCAGTTTTGTAGTTATCTGTTGAAGAAAGTGTAAAACAAGGTGTTCTAGAACAAGGTTGTTAAAACGTACATTGTCCTATGATTCCTTGATGCAACAATATCATGTACAAAACAGTCACAGTCACTACAAGCCCGCCAAGGCAATAGAGATAGTTTTTCTTGGTGGGTAACATTAACATAATATTCCAACAAACAACCTCCTCCCCTTAAAATATTAAGAGGGGGAGTGGCTAAAGCTGCAGGATGTTCTCAATCAAGAAGGTTCATTTCTATTACATCAGTGGTCTTGTAGTGACTGTGACTGTTTTGTACATGATATTGTTGCATCAAGGAATCATAGGACAATGTACGTTTTAACAACCTTGTTCTAGAACACCTTGTTTTACACTTTTTCAACAGATAACTACAAAACTGAAATATATCATAATCATGATAGGAAGTTTCCATTGAAGGCTGATGCCATGATTCCACACGTTAATGTATCAACCTCCTTCTCCTCAGATGCTACATCGTGTGTCATTAGTAGTATTAGCAATGGACTAATATTAGACAAACAACGTCACATACTCATCATTGGTGCAATGAGTCTCATTGGAGCTAGACTGACCATGTACTTACATGAAAGAGGATATCACGTGCTGGGAGTTGAAGATATGATCAATGTGAACAACGATGATATGAAATGGTATCGATGGTCTCAGTTAATTGATAACAGGATACCAACACAAATAGTTAAGCTGTCAAGAAAAGAGAGTCTGTTGTCATTATTGTCTCATCATTCTCCTCAAGCTGTCATATATGTACCAACAAGAGTAGATGGGATGGAAAGAAATGATGACACTGTTCATTCTGTATTAAAGAACTTTGTGTTGTTATTAATGAATATGAAATCCAATCCACAAGTTGTGTTGGTCTCCTACTGGAAGACACTACTAGAAAAAGGATGGTTGACATCATATGAGACCATTCTGTCATCAGTGTACAGTCAGTCATCATCAGCTATAGTTAGAGTGTCTAATCTACATGAACCATTGGAAGACACTACTCAATCAACTGGAGGACAATGGTATGTTAATGACGTGTGCAGTATTATTGAGAAAGCACTGACTAGTAAACAGTACATTTGGGACATGAACCAATGCACTAGCTTCACTGATAATAAACAATATCTTATACCTAATGACCACCTAGTAAGAACTGATAAATGGCTAGAAGAATATAATAAATATATTAAAAGAAAAACAAGAAATGTAACACTTGGTGCTTACCTATCCAAAGTCGGCATGGCATCTTTGTATGGGATCTTCCCAATGGCAAACAATGCTCATTACTTCTTTTCTTGGTTCAAGAGTGCAATGAAACATGGCATTGATGTAGTATTGTTTCATGACAGCTTAAGCCAATCTTTTAGTGACAGACTAAAGAAGGTCTACCATAAATCAGAAACTGTGCACATAAAACCAGTTAGCAGCATCATCGCAAATGATCAAAGATATTTCTTCTTTTACGACTACCTACTCAAACATCCAGAGATAGACATGCTCTTAGTCACAGATATAAGAGATGTTACTTTTCGCAACAATCCGGTACACATTATGACCGTCATTGGTAAGGACAACTTTTTTGCCGGTTTTGACATTCCATTTAATACTGACATAAGAACCCATCCACAAGGCGAATTGGTACAGAGATGTTTTCCACATTACCCACATGATGAGGTGAAGAGGTCTTATGGTGTTCTTAATAATGGAGTCCTTGGCGGAAAACGCTCCACACTGCTTACTGTCATGGCCCGTTTGCTGCTCGATATAGAAACGTCAAATCGCTTTGGCAACACATGCTGTGACATGCCTTCACTCCAGTATATACTACACAATGTCTTCTTTGAAAAGACTTTTGTTGGCTATCCGTACAACAGTGCCTTTTACACTCAGACTGTTGGTCCTAGGGGATTAGCTATTGAACATAAACTGGAGTTTGGTTAGCAGAAGAGCTTAACAGCATTAATGACTTGAAACAAGCCTTCATGCACATGTATAATCATAATTATGAATCTTTTTGTTGACTATTATTATGTTAATGTAGGATTAAAAATCTTAAGTGAAATGAGTGGCAAACATACACATAGAACAGAGCAGATCCATGACATGATATACACAAAGAATAATAATAATAATAATAATAACATGTTGTTGTTTATATAAAAATATATTATGTCAGATTGATTGAGGTTCTTCCTTAGAGAAAGTGGTTAATATTGGTCACTAAAATGAATCAAAAATAAAATAAAAACAATACAATCTATTCAATTAGTGTGTACTCAACCAATTTTTGTACATGTACATGTACATGTAGGTGCATAGTACAATAACATAAATCAACAGTGTACATGTAACTCACACTCCTTTAATGTCTTCCATTGAGCTCCCAGAGTGAGTACATATAGTAACAGACCCAGTAGAGCTCCTCCTTACTTTGCCCATCTGCTTTGTGAGGCTCTGGATCTTCTCCTGCATTCCCTCGTGATCAGTCAAGTCCTTATCCATATCAGAGATACTGATACTCTCCGAGCGCTGAAGGGGAATACCGTGATACGTCATGTGACTTGCCAGTTGGTCCGAGTCACAGGAGGACGTCGTGCGATGGTGAATACCCATGCCTGCCAATGGGACCGGCTGGAAATGATGCGGTAAAGTCTTTGAGCCTTTCTCGACTAGCGTGCTCCGTTTAAGAGTCCTAGCGGGGTTATAAGGACGAGTCTCTTCGTCCGAACTGGAAGTATGATGACCGACTACTGGGGTATAAGCTGGTCCTCGTTTATAAAATGGTAGGTGGAGCATGTTATCAAATGAGTCAATGTATAGGGAGTCTAGAGAGGGGGTGGAGTAAGGGGAACTCTCTCCGCCCAGTCCTGAAAATGAGGTACATGTACTTGCAAAACTGTCCGAGCGACCGACAGAACTGGTCAGACTGGGTATGCGAGAGAGAGTGGCCGAGAGCTCGTCTTCGGGAAAGAGTTTCTGTTGGTGTAGAGTCTTTCCTGGTTGCTTGTCCTTCCCATTGTTATTATTGGTCGTTGTGCTAGGATCGGTGATTGGTATAGTATTAGGAGTGCTGCTGCTGTCATGGTTCTTATTAAGTCCCTTTACTTTCTCTTTAGCTGATGTCTTTCCTCCTCCAAATTGTCTCGTGAGATGAGTCCATATTCTTGGTTTTGACGACTGGCTCTCTCCTTTACTACTAACCTTGTCTCCTACTTTCTCCTTCCCCCCTCCTCCTCCTCCTGAAGTAGCCACCGGTTGTTGAACGGTTGATAAAGCCAATGGAGGAGTCCGTTGCAACTTCTCTTCTTCATTTTCTCCGCCCCCACCTCCATTGTTAGTACTGTTGTGTTTATTAATCATCTCGCCAATCTCTTCTTGCATGTCTTTAGCGTAGCGTCCGATCAAATCATTATTGGTCTCTCCCATCCTTCCTTTTCCCTCGGTAACTGTTTCTGCTCCACTTGTCTCCACTCCAGGAGAATAGACCATGGAATCAGCACTTCCCGGGCGTTTAGGCGGTCTGTGTTGCCTAGCAACGGAGTGTGGGAGGGTGGAGGAGTGATTAGGGGGCGGGCGGCTATCAGAAGCGCTTGAACCTGACGAGAGGAAGTTCTTTAGGTTATCGGAGCCGGTGGATGCCGTCCGACGATGTCTTTTGATTCGGTTCTTTTGTGGTATCTTTGGAGAGGCATCATCAGTTAAAGCCATACCACCTACACATATTAACGAAAGAATAACGAATAACAATAAACTACAGACACTATACATTAAAAAAATAAACTACAGACACTATACATTAAAAAAATAAGTATAAATAAGGTATCTATTATCCATATGACCTTTTACATTCTTAATATAATGTGTATGTATAATAACAAAAATATAAGCATAATCTCTGCATGACCTTGTTTTTAATGCATGTAGTGCATGTATGTATCTCTTTTTCCCTTACCTTCGTCATCAGTGACTACAGTGTATCCAATGTAATAGCCCTCATTCTCTGTCGTCTGGTTGAGTTTCTCCAGGTCAACGTTGACTCCTTCTCCATTGGTCGTCGACGGAGGAAGTTGAATTAAGAAATCTCCAGCTTCAAGCATCGATGGGAGCTTGCTTCTATTAATAACCTGAGTAAAAGAGAGAGAGGGGGGGAGGGGAACATAATAATACATGTGTGTACGTGTAAAAGGTTCTGTTTGTACTTTAGGATGATTCCGATCAGTGATCATTGTGTAACGCGGCGGTCGTGCCGACTCGGCAGAACTTGCACTGTGAGGACGAGAGAAACCACGAGAAGCAGGAACAATCTAAACAAAAACAACAACAACAACAACAACAATAATAACAACAATAATAACAACAAAAAATACTAATATAAAATACAATGCTACGAATAATACCCTCAATATTATTAGTACATTAGTCATTAGTGCATGTACATACATTACAATAGAAATACAGTGTACATGTACAGTACATACTACAGTTTACACAAATACATGAGTGTTAACCACATTGGGAGGACAACCCATGATAGCCTTTTACAATTAGTTGAGTATAAAAGGAACAGTCTCTTTGTCCATACTACATGTGAACTCTATCTTTGTGTTGGTTAACCACACTGGGAGGACAACCCATGATAGCCTTTTAGAATTAGTTGAGTATAAAAGGAACAGTCTCTTTGTCCATACTACATGTGAACTCTATCTTTGTGTTAGTTAACCACACTGGGAGGACAACCCATAATAGCCTTTTACAATTAGTTGAGCATAAAAGGAACAGTCTCTTTGTCCATACTACATGTGAACTCTATCTTTGTGTTAGTCAACCACATTGGGAGGACAACCCATGATAGCCTTTTACAATTAGTTGAGCATAAAAGGAACAGTCTCTTTGTCCATACTACATGTGAACTCTATCTTTGTGTTAGTCAACCACATTGGGAGGACAACCCATGATAGCCTTTTACAATTAGTTGAGTATAAAAGGAACAGTCTCTTTGTCCATACTACATGTGAACTCTATCTTTGTATTAGCTTGAGGCAAAGAAATTTTTGGAAGGGTTCATTATTATGAACCCTGCACTACAATAATATAAATATTAAATATGTGTGTGTATGTGTGTGTGTGTGTGTATGTGTGTGTGTGGTATAGTCAATGAATTTTTGTCTGTTTTGTGGCTAGTGGTGGGCGATACTGTATTTTTTGGATTTGATACGATACTGAGTATTTTCATTCTCGTATCGATACTATTCGATATGATACTAACCACACCCTTTATTAATTAATTTCAGTTAATTTACCACAAATAATGGATACACACATGCTTAAAATTAATTAAGGTGTGGTTAGAGGTGTGGCCTCATTATCGATACTGCTGCTCTTAAATTTTCGATACCGATACTACTCGATACTGGCCCAGTATCGGTTGTATCAATACTATTTCGATACTATCGCCCACCACTATTTGTGGCTTCATTATAATTCCACAGCAGCTAGTCCTATACACACATACTTTATTTATTACATATACACATGTATTATTATACTAGCTCCTATATTGGAGTGTGTTATATTATACAAAGTATATTCTTGATGACTCAGTACCATTATAATGTACATTATACCATGTACATGTACATACGTGTGGATAGGTTCCATGAGATGTGCTCAGGAGTACATCATTTCCTATTCCTGTGGGAGGAGTTGGGAGTGTGCGATGGTGTCCCTTGAGTGCGTCCAGTTTCTGAGTGTCTAATTGATGAGCTAACTCGGATATACGTAACTCCTTCTCTCTCAACAATAACTTAGCATTATCCAACTAGAAAGGAAAAAGAAATTAGCAATGTATATCAATAAAGTTATTAATGTATTAATAAAATTATTAATGCATTAATAAAGACAAATAAAGACATTAATGTATTAATAATGCATTTTATGGCTTACCTCTGTTCCCATCATTCGTATTTCTCTCTGTTCAGCAATGGCTTCCTGAGATCTCTTCAGTTTCTTTAACAAATCCCCAACATCTTCAACTATACAATTTAATACACGTACTATGCACAACAGTGAATCTGTATATACCTTTAAACTGTTGTTCAATGAGTTGGAAGTTGAGTGTCCTGAGGTAGTCCCTCTCAGTGTGGAGTTCCTCCATTACTAGTCTGTGGTGCCTCTCTTGCTCAATGCTCTGATGCTTCAACAAGCTGTTCTCGTGGTGAGTGGACTCCAGCCTTGCCTGAGGGATGAAGAGAAATCAATAATGAGATGACAGGCATACATGTATAGCAAACTGTCTATAAAATGTACATGTACATACATGTACAAACACAATATACATGTACATGTACATATTGTCTTTTGTATCTCTTAATGTACATGTACATGTACACTTACTTGCAGTTGGTTGATTTGGTAAATGTACTCATTCAATATTCCTTTGACATGATGAAGCTCTTCACTCTGAAGTCGGACCAGCTCTGAAATGTTGCCACTATGACTGCATGAGAACAAAAGACATTAATGAAGACATAGCAATAGAGAATCCTACAGTGTACCTCTCTTCCCTCCCCTTCTCTTCTCCTCTCTCTTTCCCTCCCTCTCCTCACCTTTGTAGTTGTATTGTGAATCCTTCAGGAACGTTAAGAGATTCTTGTAGTATACACAGAGTGTGTTCATTCTCCTTCCTTAGCTTATACAGCTCAGACTCAGCGTTCAGTGATCTCTCCTCCAGTTCCTGTATATACTGGTCTCTAGCCAATAGTTTATCTGATCCAACTGATATCTCTTCCTTTAGGTCAAGAACTTGACTTTTGAGGAGTGAGAAACGCCTAAAAATAGAACAAGATCAAAATAACATTTGTATGAGCATTTTAGAAAATAAAAAAAAATTCCAAAAACCACACAAATTACTTCTATGTAGATAGGAACACTAACCTATTGTGTGCTTCATAATCTTCCTTCATTTGCAAGTCAATATCTTTAAGTGCCATGTCCCTTGCAATCACTTTATCCTGCCATGTCTCAACCTGATGCTTTAGGATCACTATGGAGTTCAACTGCTCTGAGGGGAGTTCCCGTTGCCATAGTAATGCGAGTGAGTCCCCAGTCTCCTCGAGGACCCTCAGCGAGGACTTGAGTTCGTTCTGGAATGTCGTAAAACTCTTTTGTAGGCCAGAGATCTCTGACTGTTTCAGGCCTAAGGACTCGTGAACGTGCTTTAAAAGATCCTTAATACTCAAACTATCGGCATAAAGACTGGAGAGTTTCTCACGAATCTGATGAACGTAAGCCCCACCTTTAGCACCTCCGTCTCCAGCGGACTGGGACTGAGACCGAGACCTCATTGGGACAGGACTAACGATGCCACTAGTACCTTCAAGACTGGATATGTACTCACGAGATACCTGCTGAAAGACAGGAGGGCGGGCATTTGTAGAACCAAGACGAGTGAGAGTAGAGGGGCCGCGTTGAGAGGGCGTGGCACTCTCGTCCGGCTGTGGCCTCGCGGGAATAATCTCTTGTATTTCCGAGTGACACTTTAGGACTCTCTCCATTATATCACCAGCTGGCGAGAGTATGCCACTGGCTCCCGAGAGGCTCGCTTTCAAACTGATGAGTTCTTCCTCTTGGGTCTGAACAAGGGACGAGAGACTCGAGAGGCTCTCGCTAAAGGTTTTCACACCTTTAAGGAACTCTGGGATGAGACTCAGTTTGTGTTGAAGCACGTCATTGTCTTTGGCAGTAGAGGCTATAGTGGCATCGGCGTTCATTAGCTTACGAGTGAACATGTCTTCCATGCTGCGAATACGATCCTGGAGTGATGTGTTCTCTTCCTTCATGAGGGTGAAGGAAGGGTTAATAATGATAAGGTGGCATTAATACATGTACATGTAGGGATACAGGGACTTTATTTTGGTTTTAAGTAACTTTAAAAATTTATAAAAATTCCAAATTTGATCGGAATCAGCTCAAACTTTCTACGCAACATAAAAACATGTATATATATCAGGAAAATTATGAAAATGGGAACTTTTCTCCTGGTCATTTTTGGCAAAATTTGGCCTGAGACACTTTGGCCCAATTTTTGAGTAACGTTAAAAATTCATAAAAAATTCAAATTTGATTGAAATCAGCTCAAACTTTCTACGCAACATAAAAACGTGTATATGTATCAGGAAAAATCATAAAAATGGAAAATTCTCTTCTAGTCATTTTTGCCAAAATTTGGCCCGAGACACTGTACTATAGTACAGGGACTTTGGCCGGATTTTTTTAACAACTTTAAAAATTCATAAAAAATCCAGTTTTGATTGAAATCAGCTCAAAATTGAAACACAAACTATACAACATGTAAATCTTCAATAAACTACATTGAAACAGTGTGCATCAATGGCCAGTGGCTCTTCCTTACTTGCAAGGACTTGAGTCTATCTTGTGTCAGTCTGTCCTTACTCTCTCTCATCATCTTGAGGGATGCATGAAGGTTGGAGACTTTGTCCGTGAGCTGCCTCTTCTCAGACTCCAAGAAATAAACCTTCTTCCTCATCTCTAGCAGCTGCCTCCGCTGAGTGTTCCCTTTATCAAGGGACGAAGACGTATTGTGAATGATATCCTAAAAAAAGAGAGAAAGATACAACAGCACATTTGCATATTGTGTTATGTATACATATTATTTTAAAAGTACAGTAGATGTACGTGTACATGTATACTTACATTTAATCGTTTGTTTTCGCCCTCCAGTAGCATCACTTTATGCTGTAGCTCTAGTACGAGTTCATTCTGAGCTTTGCTCCTCCCACTCACTGCGGGGGCGGTAACGACCGGCTGGAATGCACTGTTACTGCCAGGAGGAATGGAGCCATTAGAAGAAGCTTGCATCTGAAATAGAACAGAGAAAATAATTAATGCATATAAAAGTTACGATAACACAACATAAATAAATTAAATCATAAACAATGCATTCAGATAGGCATCATTATGCTACATGTATAAAGGAATCAGCTCAAACTTTTTAAATGGCTAAACTATGCATTGGAATGACTAAGGTGCTTTCAGAGCCAATTTTTGGAAAAAAACATCAGGTTTCAATTATAGCATAGGAAATGGAATGCCCAAATACTTCAGTTAAGGTCATAAAATAATGTCTTTACTGTGCATTACCTCCAGTAGAGCATTATCCTTCTCTAATCCAGATACTTGACTCTTTAATAAACTGATTTCTGTCATCAGTTGTACTTTAAGTTTATCCGACTCCAGCAGCAGCTCCTGTCTCTCTTCTTGGCTCTTCTTCAACTGGCCTCGTGCCTCATCCAATTGAGTATTAACAGCATTGAGGCTCTCGTTCAGTGAAGACTTCTCAAGGAGGAGTGACTGTAGGTCCTCGTCTCCACCTGAAGACAAAGACTGAGTAGGAGGAGTGGAGAGTCTTTCTTTATTTAACGCAAAACAAGCCGAGAGCAAAGCTTTCTCCGCCAGCAAATGTCCCACAATGACACAAAACTCTTCCTCTTGCTTCACGAGACTTGCTTTTGCTGCCTTCTTCTCCTCCAAAATGGCGTGATACGAATTCGAGACTTCTTCTATATCTTCTTCGAGCGTCTCGTTGACTTGGAGCAGCTCGTTCATTTCCTCCCTGTGTCTCTCTCCTTCTCTCTCAAAGCTCTGCAGGGCCTCTTGATACTCTGACTGTAACTCGGTATAGCGATGCTCAGATTCTGTGCTTAGTGCCTCATATTCCTCCCTGAGTTGTGAATTAGCTTTCTCTTTTTCAGACAGTTGCGTCTCCTTCTCCTCAAGAGTCTTTGAAAGACTAGCAACAGACGCCTGTGCCGACTCTTTGTCCTTTTCTAAGCGAGAGAGCTCTATCAGTACAGCTCTGTGTAATGACATCATTCGTCTCAACTGGTAAGGCTGTTCTGTATATCTCTTCCCTGCTTGTGATCCGCTGGTGTTCAGTCTGGTTTTGAGAGCAGGGTACTGAGCAAGGACGTGATTAACAGAGCACTCAACCTCTTTAAGCAGGTGGGACTCGCTTTCTTTTAACACTCGCTCTCTCTGTGTAAGGGAGGTAAGCTTTTTGTTGAGACTCTCTCTCTCTTTCTTTCCTTCTTCAACTTGTCCTTTTAGCGTCTGGAGGGTTGACTCCATCGTTAAGAGCTGATCAGAGAGCGACGCTTTCTCTCGCTCGACTTTGTGAAGGCTCTCTGAAACGCGATCATTCTCGGCTTCAACTTGCGCAAGGAGTTTCTCAGTCTCGTCCAATTTTATGGTGAGGTCTTTCTCGGTCGACTCCTTTAGCGATCTCTCTTTTGAGAGCAAAGACTTCTCGCGAGTGAGAGCCCCCAGCCTTTCCTCTAGCGACGAGTTTTGGTCTCTGAGTTTTTGTATGGTTGCTCGGAGAGAATCCTTGGTCTTGCGTGCTTCTTGAATTTCTCCGTCTAACACATTAGGAATTAAATACCATCATGATGAATCGTACGCTTTCATCGATGTTCTTACCTAGTTTAGTTTTCTGTTCTTTTAGTTTGCTTGTTGCTTTCATGACAGTCGCTAGCTCATCGCTAATCTCTTGATTCTGCTGCTCGGCCTCTCTGTATATCTTCTCCACCTACAATGGACATGTGTAAGAAAAAAAATCACATTAACTTTCAATAGTTGTACATGTACTTGTACAGGTTCATGTATGTACAAACACACATGAAATACAATAACGTATCAAAGTAATTGATCCTATTCTTCATGTGTGTGTACTTGTAATTAAACAATATCTAAAATTTCAACCACACTCAATACAAAAATTGAAATTCTATTATTAAACAAGCATACGTCAGTAAAACTCAGTAAATTCTAATGCATGCAACATCAGTAGACTCACCTGATCAAGTTTTTCAATATTCTCCTCGTATTGTTTCTGGATCTCTTTTGCTTCCAATGACACCTCATCTTTCTCCTTCTCCACGATACTCAGTGATTTCGTTAGATGATTATTCTCTGATATAAGTCTCTCAATGACGTCATTCGAACGATCCTGGGACATTGTGAAGGATTTACGTTGAAAGAGCAGCTCCCTCTGAAGCGACTGGTTCCTTTCAGACAAGTCCTTCAACTCCAGCTATAAAAGAACAGAAATTTAAAAATTCAAATTCAAATTTAAAAAGATACATGCCGCATATATACAGATGATAACATTATTGATTACATACATGTACACGTGCACGTACATGTACCCTACTCACTTCAGCTCTGTTTTTTTCCTTTAACAGACTATCGATTCTTAGAAGGAGGTCCTGATCTGAGTCACTTGTTGAAGATGAAGCGGTTGTCTTCACACGCTGGCCCCCCTCGCTCCAATTAGACCAAGTCCTCTTGCTGATGTCCAGCTCCTTGTGAACACTACGTCCATCCAGTACACAGGTAGGGAACCTTCTACTAGCCGAAGGACTCTTGTCCTCTTTGTAATGTTTGTCACTGGCTCCTTGTGGGGAAATGGTCCTGTCCACTCCTTCTGTCCCTCCCTCTGGTTGCTGTATAAACTCTTCTCCTTCGTCCGATTGGCTCTGACTAGACTGGCTTTCCTCCTATAAAATGAAATATATTCAATTCAATTCAATACTTATCTCCATGCACAGCTTCTCCTCCTCTCTTACTTTTTGTCCCGTCTCATCAAGTCGTAAGTTTCCACTAGTGCTAGAGCTGCTTGTGCTGTTGCCACGACGACTCGACGAGCCAACTCCAACAGGAGACACAACAGAAGCTGAGAAAGAGTGAAAATTGCTGATTATGGTCACAATTTTTTATTTTTCTACTTACAACAGTACATGTAAATTGTATATTATCATTATTTTCATTATCGTTACTATTACCATTATTCATTATTATTATTATTATTATTCATTATTATTATTATTATTATTATATTAAGACAAACACAATATAAAGGTATTAATTACTTTATTATTATTAAAGGTAGGTTAAAAGGTTAAGATCAGATGATACGTGACTCCTTCCCTCCCCCACTCTCCTCTCTAACATCACTTAGTGCTAATTGAGTTACACATAATAACTTAATAAGACTATAGCTTATAAACTAATCACAGCTAGTGTATCTAATTACAAGTACATTTCACTATTCCAGGAGCTCGTATGACACACCTGCACTATACAAGCGTACAGTACGCATACACTGTACATATATACATGTACATGTACATAGATAATGTATGTATGTTGTATATGTACATGTATATACGTTGTACACTCTGCATGAGCTAATGGTAATGATGATTATGGGCATTGATGAATCAGCAATCATTAGTATCTACATTCCTCTCCCCCAGGCCTCTCTCACACTTTTATTTCATCCTCTCTCTCTCTCTTTTATTATCTGGCTACTCTCTCCCTTTCTCTCTTAAACAACAGTTCCAAATACAAACAATACAGCTAAGAGTATTAACATAAATTTGTGTATGTGTGCATGACTAACTGTAATCTTCTTACTTACCTCTGTCGCTGGTAGAAGAGTAGTTCTGTCTGGCTGCTGGCTGCACCTGTAGTGGAGGAAAGGAGGGAAAAGTTACAGCTGTGCTATAAAGAAAGTATTAGTTACTATAGCGGAACTTAGTTCAAGTGTATCATTATGTACTACTACTCTTACTCTTTCTCTCTCATCACAAATCACTCATTAAATCAAACACACCTTACTATCCAAAATTTACTACACAACAAGTGAACATAATCACTATAGACAGACAAGGCCTAACAACTAAGCAGTGGCTAACAAACAAACTCACATAAAGCACATAATATCACTGTACAATATTAAGGATGTACTGTTCCTCTACTCCAATAAGATTTTGAAGGAGCCCCCCTGGGTTATTTACTCTGTGTGTGTGAGCAAGGAAGAGTGTGTGTGTCAACAAGATACAACTCCTACACAAACTATTGCTCATGGAGGCAGAACAAGATACAGGAGGAAGATGTCCATGTACACAATGTACATCCATGACACTTAGTATCACGATATGTATGTACGTGTACATGTGCGTGTATGTAGTAGGTGTACATGTAATATGATGTACATGTACATGTATATAAGGGAAGGTGATCACACATCCAGTCACAGAATTAATATATAAAGACATAACATTATAATACCATAGAGAATACAAAAGGGATTGGGCGGATTGATAAGTAGACAAAGAGAGTCAGGCCGTGTGCATATGTACATGTACATGTACATGTATGATGTAAACCAATAGATTCATTCATTCATTGTTAGATTTTGAAATGAATCTGAAAGAGCTAAGCTAACTAATAATGGAAGTCTTATGACAACTAGAGACTTTAGGAAACCTAGACGAAAAGTTTCCTACAAGATCTAACAGTGCCAATAACGATTATCAATGAGTTGTAATACAAGTAATTGCTTGACATTAATAGGAGGTAAAATGAAATTAAATCACCCTCTGATACTCAAAACAAATACGTGTACATGTACGCGTACAAGTAATGTGCAGCTGTATTTGTATATTTCTCCCTCCTAGTTCCACATTATCTCAAATACAAAATTAATGACTAATTTGACCTTTACCATAGCTATCAACACAAAACAAGTCTATAGACCATAGATAGTTGTATATCCATGTATAGGCGAAGACGTTTTTATAATAATACAAGTTTTCATAATCAGTATTACCCCCTCCCCTCTCTCCTTCTTTTACTCACACTGCTGTTATCTTCTCCAGAAGATTCAGTCTTATCATTATTATTGCATCCTTTCTCAAAGAACTTCTTAATGTCAGTGAACTGGTTGCTGGTCACACGTAATGGCCGCCCTATTCCACCTATAGTAGTCACCACATTGTGCACCACAGGAGATTCACCCATTCCTCCAGGCGAGCCTGTTTCTCCTCTAGAAGAAGGGCGAGTCCGAGTGCTTCCGCCACTGACCAGTGAGCGAGGGGTAGGGGAGGCCGTGGAAGAGTTGCTGCTGCCAGGCCTTGTGGCAGAGCCCGAAGATGACATGTTTTATTATTGTTGATTCAGTGCTGATGGCGAGTTGGTGGGCTGAGACTTTGCCTTGTTCCGTAGAGGGCACAGAAAAAGATTGAACAAGAACAGAGAGAGAGAGAATTGGTGTTAGACTGTTAGTAGTAATAGTAGTAGAGTAAGAAGAGGTACCCTCTCTCCTTTAATAACAAAGTACAGTATGAAAATTAGTTGTGGGCGGAGTTTGATTTAGCCACGCCCACAAATATAGAGCTAGTGCCCGGCCGTAGGCGATATTTTGTATTCTTCTTTAGTTATTGTAAATTTAAAAGCAATTCTCCGTATATTCTAGTAAAACGGATCAAAATGAGCAAAAGAAAGGCACCAGAAAGTGGCAAGCCAAACTCTGACATTGCCGAGATACTGATGGGTACAATAAATTATTATCATTATTATTTATTATTTGTAATATTGTAGAATTAGCTACTTATGAAAGAAACGTAGCCAGAAACATTCACAAGCACAATGTGTACAAGTACCTATTAATTTGAGAGAGAGATAGAGAGCTGATTAATTTTTCACACTAGGAAAGCTGCAAATGTACTAGCAAAGCATCCAGAAAGAATCAAAAGTGGAGCTGAAGCAAGGAAACTAGTAAGTTAGAAGAGACATGACTAAAAGTACAATATAACAACAATGAATCCTTGATTCCGTTAAGGATGGAGTGGGGGATAAAATTGCTAAAAAGATTGACGAGATTTTATCAACTGGTCAACTGCAAAAACTTGAAAAGGTGTGTACTTAAAAGTTTTTTCTAAACAAGTTTTACGAGATAGTTATTCACAGATAAGAGCGGATGATTCAAGTCAAGCTATCAATTTTCTTACTCAAGTCACAGGAATTGGGTAAGGCTTTTGTCATCAGTTTTGAATTATCGATAATTATTGATTGCATTAGTCCAGCTGCTGCTAAGAAGTTAGTAGATGAAGGAATCACAACATTAGAAGGTAGTTGCATATGAACAGATTTTAAAAATTCATAAAAAATCCAAATTTGATCGGAATCAGTTCAAACTTGATATACAACATAAGTACATATATATGCATCAGAAAATAGCATAAAAATGGAAAATTCTCTCCTAGTCATTTTTGGCGAAATGTGGCTTGAGACTATGTACTATAGTACAGGGACTTTGGCCCGATTTTTGAGTAACTTTAAAATTATATAAAAAATCAATTTTTGATCGGAATCAGTTCAAATTTTTAAAACAACATTAGAACATGTATATGTATTAGGAAAAATTATAAAAATAAGGAATTTCTTGAATTGATTTTTTGACGAAATACCCTGTACTATAGTAGATATTGTATCACTGTAATACCTACCAATCCATGTCTGTGTAGATTTGAAGAACAATATGGACAAACTTAACCATCACCAACAGATTGGTGTCAAGTAAATAAGTCAGGACAAATTGAACCAGATTTATTAATCCCCCCTCCCCTCTTTCCCTCTCACAGACATTTCCATGAGTTCAATGAGCGAATCCCAAGACCTGAGATGCTCCAGCTCCAAGAGATTGCCTTTAGACTCATTGCAGAAGTAGACAAAGCCTTTATTCCTACCGTCTGTGGAAGCTTTAGGAGAGGTAATGAATAAAAACAAAGCTAAGGATATTAGGGCATCAAGTTTGCTTGAACATGTACTAATGTAGGAGCATTGTCTAGTGGAGATATTGATATTCTGTTATGTCATCCTGGCCACACATCGGACTCTAAATCAAAGGTATCTGTACATGTAACACACACAGCATTTCATGGTGACATGTTATGAAGAAATGCATGCACGTTTGTACTATGTATTTTGCGATCTTTCTTTTTCTCGATAGCCTAAGTTTATAAAAGAGATTGTGAATAAAATGGAAACCGGTGGTTTTGTAACTGATACACTATCAATAGGCGAAACCAAATTTATGGTTGGCAGCAAAATTAATATAAAAACACTGATCATTAATTTGTTTATTACCTCAGGGTGTCTGTCGTCTGCCTATATCCGACAATAAAGATGAGAAACCACCACTCCATAGACGCATAGACATAAGACTTATACCACACGATCAGTATTACTTTGGAACTTTGTACTTCACTGGTAAATGCACAGCATGGAAACTTTGTTTAAACAATTTTATTTTGATTTTGTTCGACAGCTGTGTATGCAATTAGACGCTTTGTTTATTATTACTTTGATGTTTATTTTGACTTTTATTTTGGCTACAGGTAGCGACATGTTTAACAAAAATATGAGGACACATGCTTTAGAGAAAGGATTTACATTAAATGAATATTCCATTCGTCCTGTTGGAGCCACTGGTACATATAATAAGCCTATCATCATTCACTTAATATCACACACACTTTATCATCAAAAAATTGGCTCAAAAAATTATTAAATTTTTCTCTGATAGTCTACATACAGTATTGATGCCCTTACCCTCATGTAGAGATGATTCAATTGCAATTTAAAATTTTCAAATTGTGATTATACAAAAGATTTCTCCATTACTTGTACCCATTAGTTACATTATGTACACTGTGCTACAGGTATACCAGGAGAGCCGGTCCCAGTGACGTGTGAAGAGGACATATTCACAATGATTGACTATCCATACAAGAAGCCAGAGGAAAGGAGTGTCTGATTTATTATTATTATTATTATTATTATTATTATTATTATTATTATTATTATGATACGTTGACATTTTATCATTCATAATAATTAATCATAAATTAAAACAGAAATCAAATTTATTATTTTAATTCTGCACCTTAGACTATTGATCTCCAAGTGAGGATTTTTTAAAATAGATATTATAATTTGAGTATAAAGAAAGTTCATCTAAAGTGTAACCTGCCCCTGGTATTACTATTATTATACAAGAGTCTTTGATTATCATTCTATCAGATCATAATACACTTCCTATAATGTAAAACAATTAATTGACGGTCACCATTGCCTTACCAACAGTGTAAAGGTCATACTGAGATTCTTTCCATTTATTTTCTCCTTTCATACTTTTCTTCAGTAGCCCGTTAGTCGAGAAACCGACACAGCGATACGTCATGCGACAGGCTTTCGTTAGAATACTGGGATCTTTGTTAGCATTAGGTACATATAGTAGATCCCCATTGGGTGAGTCTCTACCCTGAAATGATGATGATAAAAATTAATAATAATGATAATAGGTATCTTGCATTACTTTGTGACAGTAGAAAGTAGAGCTATCTGATAACATAAATTGGTGAGGATTTAGACCAGAAAGGATATCTCTCAGCCTAAGGTCTGATATCGTATTAGAAGTCCGATGCTCAGAGTATCTGTAATTACAAAATAATGCACGTATCACTTTCGCCATACAAGGACACACTTTTCAATGCAGTTTTGATCAATTGACTGGTAGCCATCGCCACAGACACAGGAGAAAACAGCAGGACCTATTATTAGCATGCGTTACTATTTATATCACTCATACATGATGTCATCTACCTTTATATACACACTTTCTTGGTGCAAAGCAGTTATGGAGGCCAGCCTTGCACACGTCAATATTAGCAATGTGTAATCCACTTCCTTTGGCCCAAGGCTTTGAGGTTTGTAGTATAGCTACGTAGGGTCAGTGAGTAGGGGATTCTAGTACATTCTCTTTTCCTCTCTCTTTACTTACTCTTTATCTCTCCTTTGGTGTTGAATCCAACACAATCATCCATATAGTCACACACTTCCTTCATATGCTACATGAAAGCAAAAACAATTCACAATAAAAGTCTTCCATCTTTATTTATTCTCTTGTACTTCAAAACTGGTGTTCCTTTCAGTACGTAATGTACCAGGGGCTTCAACATCTACACAGCAACAAACACAATATTAATATATTTGACATAGTCTGGTAGAAAGTAGTCTAACCTGGGTAAAACTTGAAAGTTTTGTGTCTGTAAAACTTAGCAACAGGTATATTATGCGACTCTGCATAGAAGGTATACCTAACATGAAGAGAAGGAGAGAGAGAGAGAGAGGGAGAGAGAAAGAGAGGGCAAGAGGTGAGCCTAGCTATAGTGTACATGCTAAGTTTTTACTTCTCCCTTAAATCAGCTAATCTTTCTCTAAACTCATGTCCTCTTCTCGCAATAGATTCATCCAAGGCCTTAGATGTAATGGACTCATCACTGTAGCAGAGAAAGAGAAGGAGGGGGGATATTTCACAAAATTATTTTTAATATGAATCATACGCAGGGTTTCTTTCAACATGGTAATTATAGGAATTATACTCCTTCCACCATAAAACAAACTTTCTTATACCTGTGAAAACAGTCACATTAAATGAACCTCTAAGTTATATATGCACATGTAAGTGGTGTACAGCCATGTACCATTTCTTAGTTTTGTTTTGGGAGAGAATCCAATGCTTTCAGAAGTTGCAGAGATATCAGCATATTCCTCTTCAGGTACATCACTAGGAGATCTCTTGATCACTTCCAGCTGTTGATGATAAAGTGAAAGCAACATATTCAAAACACTATAAACTATGCCTTACTGTGTTATGAAAATTGGCTCTAAGGTCAGATTTTATCAAATTAGCAGCCATAGCTAGTTTTGTCCCCACTCCTGTCCCAATGTTAAACACTTCATGACCAAATGGTGGAGTATATTTAAGAGCAAGTAAAATCCCATCAACAACGTCCTCTATGTAAGTGAGGTCCCGCTTCAAGTAAAGATTAAGCGATATGTCTCTGGTTTTGCCATTAGCTATTGATTGAGTCATGGAGTGTATTATATTATCTGTATTGCTCCATGGTCCATATACTGTGAATAATCTAAGACCAACTGCTGATTTTAAGTGATACTCTTGTACATAGCCAGAAACTATTTCCTCCACACTTAACTGTGTGTGTGCGTGTGTATGTGTGCACAAATTAACAGTCAATACAAAAGTGTCTACTCATCTTTTACTTGTAAAAAAGTCCCTATCTCTCCTTTACTATTACATACAATCTGATGATCAATCTCTTACCATAAAAGTGGCCAGCATATCCCTCGGTCTAATGAATGATCTAGTCGTTGATAATGGAGACTCACTATGAATTCCATAAACACCTGAAGTAGACATGTAGACTAGTCTCACGTCCTACATGATTTAAAAACAAGCACTGTTGTAAGCAAACAGTTAAAATAAACAGTGATAATGTTTACTTTGTGTTTCACTAGTGCATCCAATAGAGATACCATTGATTTGAGGCTGCTTTCAGCTCCCATCAATGGATCTCTATTGTTATCATTGATAGACGAATGACCAGCACAATGTACTACTTCATTTATGTTAGGATAATGTTTAAATACATACTCTATTACATGTGGATCTGACACACTGCCTTTAAGAACTATAATGCCTATAAATAGAAAGAAATTAAAAAATTAATAGAGACTAATTATATATTTTTAAAAGCATAGCTACCTATTCTTTTTAACTGGTCTGCCCTCATTAGCCTGATGCTATCATCACTCACTCCTCGACTTAGAAATGAGTCTAACACGACCACTTCGTATCTTAGACCTGCTAGCCTCCGAGATACATGATATCCTATAAATCCAGCCCCACCAGTGACAAGAACTAATGTAGAGGTGACGAAAAACAATTAATTTCATCCTTTTACGCTGACTCTACGCTCCCTGTCACTCCCTGTACTAGATCTAATTTAAACTGATACATACCTGTGTTACTGGAGCCCAAAGAACACAACAAGAGACCAAGAATGAGTCGAAAAATCAAGTAAAACTGTGACATTTTAACGAGCGTGGACAACTAATCTTGCTGCACATGTACAACTTAAATTAACTACCACTACAATGATTATGAATTTATTACCTGTGACCTACGCCCACGCAGTGTTAAATCCACTCACACACTCTTGTTGTTATTGGGCGGATCTCATTTTTTGCAGAACTAGAAGAGAAAGAAGAGACTGCAGTGACATAATGTCTTCTCAGCAGTCAATACTAGAAGGACAACCGTTTCTCTATGACTATGCAAGGATGAAGTTTAAAATGGAGACAACCATGAGGCCAGTGAACTGTCCTCAAGTCACATGGAAGGTATGATGAAGGCAGTAACCTACTAGACTACTAGCTAACAATTGGCTTTTTTAGGACTCCAAGAAGCAGTGGGTTGTATTGTGTGGGCACATTGCACCTCACCACTGTTATCTCACATATTGTGCTCAAGAGGATATCTGGCTCGTAAATAAGAACAGGTCAACTCTCCCAAGAATAAAGCTTGACAACTTCCTTCTCTTCACACGTCAGATGAAGATTGACATAGTGTTTGGATATTTCTCGATTGTGCTGGAGTTTGACTCACAATCAAAGCTCAAACAGTGGCTGGATGCTTTTGCAACCATCAGAAGTATGATCTAAGTATGTGTGTATCTAATGCTTTCATGTGTTTGCATGCAGGTCGAGTCTATGTTGAGCTGATTCGCTGTCCCGAGTATCCAGAGATTGAAAAAGAATACGTGCTTCATCTATGTCCTGACAAAATTATATTTTACAGTGCCAAGAGCAAAGACATGAAAGGAGTAGTTGAATTTCAGTGGCCAGTCACTGTTATTAAAAGAGCCAAGTATCACAACTTTGTGGGGAAATTGGAGATAGAAATTGGAAGGTAAGTCAAATCGATGCATGTTTTTGTTTAATGCATAACGTACTGTAATCCTTCAGATCAGCAGAGACTGGAAATGGTCAATACTTTTTCATCGGTTTTGGAGTTAAAAAAGTGTTCAAGGACATTAGAGGCAAAATAGAAGAAGCAAGAAAGTCAGGGTCCTTAAGAAAACCGACAGAGAACCTGGCAGAAACGAAACAGGAAGCTGGTCATACTATGATTATATCTGACCCAGTCCTGGTTTCTCCTCCACCAGTTCTTCCAGAAACAAGACAAGAAGCTGGTCATACTATGATTATATCTGACCCAGTCCTGGTTTCTCCTCCTCCAGTCCTTCCATACAGAGGTAAATCAGCTACTATGAGTGTTGTAGAGGGAAATGACAGAAGCAATGCAGCAGTAATGCAGCCTAGCCTAGAAAGGCCTCCACAACCAGTACCACGAAGAAGCACTATTAATAGGTTTCCTTCATCATCTACTGGTGCATCTATTGAAAGATTTCCTTCATCATCTACTGGTGTGTCTATTGAAAGATTTCCTTCATCACTTACTGGTGTATCTGATTATGAAAATGAGCAGCCACCTCCATTGCCTCCTCGCATGGAAATTGAAGATTTTGGTGAAGTTGATCTTGTTTCTTATCACACAATTGGTGAAGACTTATTTGCAGATGTCAATGAGATCTCTTACGACGTCCCAAACCCCACGCCTCCACCCATCCCTGCTCGTTCAACAATGCCCCATCATTCAACGATACCTCATCACTCTTCAGAGTCCTCCATTGGAGAAGTTGCTCCTCCTATTCCGCGTCGCTCTACTCTCCCACGTTCCAGTTCAGCATCAAATATTCCACCACCTCAGCCCACTGGAGCAGCAGCAGAGCCAGTTATATTAAGCCAACAGCCATGGAGATTACCAATGGATGATCCCCGCTATCAGCCATTGGTTATATTTCAATCAAGTAGCAACGAAGGAATTAACAATTTCATGGGAGCTGGTACTATGCCTAGACTCTCAGAAGGTACTCTGCCTGGACTTCCAGAAGAAGCCTATGATTATCCTACTCCTCACCCACATCCACCAGCTTACCCTCCTCCTTCATACCAATGAGACAATATGTACCTTATACAGCTATATATATTTATTTATTATTGATTTACAATGCATACACACAAATAGTCTATTGTAATTTAGTTCTATGCACACACAGAGAAAACAACTATTTTTTAATTATTTAAAATAATTATAAGCAGCTTCTGAAAGTTATAGGGGAAAATTATTTTATGTCAAAACATAACTGCATTAATCGCTCACATCATCAACTTTGACAAGTTGAACAAAATCTTCAACTGTCATGTTAGCAAGAGCGTCATGAAAGTTGACTTTGAATGAAGCAGGACCTTTAGTACTACTCTCCTTAACTGCAACTTCTGCCGCAGATCCAAAGAAGGAGAGAGCAGCAACAGTAGCCATTAGCTTATCCTCCTTATTAGCACCCACAAAACAAGAAATGGCTGTTGTAGCAGAGCATCCAGTCCCTGTCAACTGGGCTAAGTACTTGTGGCCGTTTCTAATAGCAAATGCACTTTTACCATCAGATACATAGTCAACTGGACCAGTTATTGCAACAATAGTCCCCAGTTTGTTTGCAAGTGCCTGCATGTGTTACCATAAAATCATAAGGATATCGCAAATCATATAATTTATACCTTAGCTACTTTCGCTGGTTCTTCAGGCCCTCCAACAGAATCCACGCCTTTAACTTGACCTCCTTTATCTGCCAATAGTCCAATCTCTCCTCCATTGCCACGTATGACTGATATATCCAGCTCCTTGATGAGGTTTGCTGCAGTTTCTGTCCTATAAGGGGTAGCCCCATTACCAACGGGATCAAATACAATCGGAACACCCAGAGAGTTTGCCTTCTTGCCTGCAGCGAGCATTGAAGCTACCCAGTTTGGTTCCAGAGTCCCCATGTTAATGTTCAGGCAAGATGCCAGTTTTACCATATCAGTCACTTCTTCCAGGGAATGAGCCATCACAGGGCTACCTCCAACGTGAAGGGTAACATTTGCAGTCAATTCCATCACAACAAAGTTTGTGATATGATGAACAAGAGGATTTCCAGAGCGTACGGACTGTAGTTTCTCTCCCAACTTTTGGGCAAGGGCAGCCATGATTGCTCAAAAAAGGAAGGAGGGGCTGGTATGGAAAGAGGCGTGGTAGAGTTTGCTTAATTAATTTATTGACTATTCATAGTCAATGAATATTGAATGACTGTTAGCAAAATAAAGGGTGTAGAGACTAAGCTACACTGCTCAGTGTAAATTGTACTTCCTAGTAATGTCAGAAACAACCACTCTGTCCGAATATGTATCACTCAAAGTGGTTCCTCGAGGAGTACAAGCAACTGAGGTAAGTAGAAAAGCAGACTAGCACAGCCCAGCCTAGCCTAGACCTGCAATTCACATTTGACTAGTGTTTTCATTCACAGCCCTACAGATATCATTGGGTTGTACTAACAGTACCCGTAGTGCCACATCATTCCACCATTAGCTACTGGTCATCAAAGGAGGCTTGGCTGAACCGCAGATCTCCCCAGGAGCAAGGCATACAGTCAATATCCCTGGAGTCATTTAAGCTTCAGAGATCTTCTGAAGTTGGGGACATGGAGGTCATTGAAGTCATCCTAAACAAAGCTACGCTACTCATGATGTTTGAAAGTACCGAAAAGTGTCATGAATGGGACAAAGTTCTGCAGAAGATATCAAGTAAGTACTGAGATGGCCTCTTTCCAAATATTATGCTTGTTTTGCCATTATCATTTACAGGTAGGGTATACACAGAAATTGTACGTTCGAAAAACCATCCAAACAGAGAGAAGCAATACATCATAGAGATATCTCCAAGTGTTGTCATGTTCTATGAGCCACATAAAGCTAATAGCAGCAGCAAGCCAGACTTTACCTGGAAGATAGAGCATATAAAGAGAGCAAAGTATGACATTAACGTGGGCAAAACTGAAGTGGAGATCAGCAAGTAAGAAATGATATTACAAATACTGCATTCACATCATACCATTAATACACATTGCATGCATCATTAACTACATAGTAGCATAGTATAGTCTCTTGTTAATATCTAAAAGGCCAAAGCATGTACAATTTGCATACTATTTATGAGTAATAAAAGCAATTATACTGTAACTTGACACACACAGATTGTTATTTCATGCATAACTCTATATTAGTAGCAATATGTACTATACTCGATTGGTTACATACTTCTCTTTTATCTTGACCAGGTCTGGTCGCAGCGGCGACGGAGACAAATACATGTTGATAGGACCGAAAATGAAAGAATTATACTTTGAGCTGAAGGAGAGGTTCAATAGAATCTGTGGAGATCCAACGGGACCTCACGAGGCCCTGCCCATTAAGAAATCCTCAAATCCAACCATTGGATCGCCAAAAACCCAACATAGATCAGTACGATCACTAAGCATACCTTGCGTACCTGCAAGGCAGCCAATTGATATGGAACCACCACCTTTACCTCCTCGCCCTATCGTGTTGTCTCGTACTCCAGTTACACGAAGAAGCTCTCAGCCTGTATCATCACCATCACCATCATCATCACCGTTGCCAGAGAGAAAAGGACCACCATTGCCTCCACGTTCCAGTGCCAATCTTTCTTCTCCTCTTCCTTCGCTGGATGATGTGGACGAGATATACGACTTTGAAGCTATTCCACAACTGATGGTCATCAGCTCTCAAGTTAGAGAAGAACAACCTCCTCCTCTTCCCCCACCAAGATCACCAAACATGGCTACAAAAGTAAGACCACAAAGCACTTCTCCTCGATTGCTACCAAGACATGAAGGACTTGTGTACGACGAAGCAAGAGATATCATGCTTCCCAGGAGCAACAGCAACAGAGCACAAAATCCATTGGATGATGACGAAGAAGATCATTATTACATATGACAATCTTTTAGTTGGTACCATTTTAGTTCATAGCTGCAATGACATGCAATGTACAAAGCTCATAAGTTATTGAAGTATTATAATTTTAGCACTGTAGTCACCAGTACTGATTCAAGTTAGTATTCATTTCACGAAGAATTCCACACATTTCCTACATTTAGCAGCTGGGGCATAATGTAGCACAGGGCACACACAAACAATTTTAAGGCAATGCAAATAAAAATTGAAAAGTCAAAAGCTGCTAAGGACTAGCATATAAAAATCTAAAAGAACTACTACTACTACTACTGAAATACAAGGTTCTAGGACTGTCACTACAATTAATAATCACAGAGCAGAGGTGACCCAGTTTAACTTGTTTTGTGAGATTTGATGTAATTGATGAGCCCATTGGTGCTAGCATCATGACCAGTGGCAGGCGAGGCAGTAGAACTAAGCTCGGGTTGTATAATCTTAGCCAGCTGCTTCCCAAGCTCAACACTACGAGGGAAATTAAGGGACAGAGAATCACAAATTTCAATACATTTTAAGTAACAATCCTCTCTTTCTTACCCCCACTGGTCGTAGGAATTTATGTCCCAGATGACTCCCTGAGTGAATATCTTGTGTTCGTAGAGTGCTATAAAAAGAGTATAGTTAGTTAAAATCTAAAAAAAGATTGGACTTTACCAATCAGAGCTCCAAGATTGAAAGGAGTCAGTTTCTGAAGAACAAACGAATTGGTAGGCTTGTTACCCTCAAACACCTATTGTATAGAACAAAAATAGTTGATATAATGAATGTTATAATGATAATTATTATAATTATACTAACTAACCTTGTGAGGAAGAATGTGTTCCAATCTTTCCTTGGGAACGTTATCCTTCTCCAGTTCAGCCCTTGCCTCATCAGCAGTTTTGCCTCTCATTAGAGCCTCAGTTTGAGCAAGAAAGTTGGCCAACAATATCTGAAAGAATAGTGCATCATTAATAAGCAGATATATGTGCTACCAGCACAGCTTAGATTAGTAACCAAAAACCCGAGCTTTTATATGGACGGGGGGTTTATAAACCAAGTCACAAGATTAATAAATCCAATAAAAAAGCTAAAAGCTATCACATCACTGAGCTGGCTTCTTTCTACGTACACATGTACATGTACATGTAAATGTACATGGGCACAGCACACATGTACATGTACATGTACATGTACTTGTACATCTACATGTACATCTATAAACAGTTGGCAGCCACTAAATGAATAGTACACTGATAACAGATAGGACTGGTGCACTTATATAAAGCCATGACTTGTTAAGGTGATTCTGTGTTTGATTCATTTTGGGAAACTGATATTTGTTGAGGAGGCTTATGAATTATTCATGAGGTAGAAGGTAGAAGTATACTAACCTCATGATGAACACCAGCTGATATTGGGTTGTGAGTATCAACAGCTGCTATGAAATCAGCAGGAATAACCTTAGTACCTAGGTATAAAAAAAACACTTTGTTCATAATTTTCTTATATCAGGACACTATTTTACCTTGATGAATAAGTTGATAAAAGGCATGTTGTCCATTAGTACCAGGCTCACCCCAAACAACTGGACCAGTTGAATAACTGACACGATCTCCAGATCTTGTAACAGATTTACCATTTGATTCCATATCACCCTAAAAATAATGCAAAAAAATAATTTGTAAAATAATCTTTAAAAATCTAGAAATACTCACTTGCTGAAAGTAAGCAGCAAAACGATGAAGATACTAAAAAATAAACAAGTAAATACGAGTTCTCTTTCTCTATCTCACCCACTTGGTCATAAGGAAGTAATGCGTGTGTTTGAGCCCCAAAGAAATTATTATACCAAACACCAAGGAGACCCATCACAGCTGGAACCTACATACATGTACCATACAGGAAAAATAATGACATCATCTGAAATCATGTGACATACATTCTTTTCCAGTGGCGTTGTTCTGTAGTGCTCGTCCTATGCATTATAAAAGGAATATACTATTAAAATGAAGATGAGGCTTACAACAAAATGGGCTCCAGCCAAGAGCTTCTCAAAATTATCCATGCCTAAAGTAAAAATTTGATCAGAATCAGTTCAAACTTGATATACAACTTTAGAACTTGTATATGTATAAGAAAAAATTATAAAAATGATAAATTCTCTCCTAGTCATTTTTGCCAAAATTTGGCCCGAAACCATGTACTATAGTACAGGGACTTTCGTCCAATTTTGGAGTAACTTTAAAAATTCATAAAAAATCCAAATTTGATCGGAATTAGTTCAAACTTGATATACAAGATTAAAACATGTATATGTATCAGAAAAAAAATTATAAAAATGGAAAATTCTGTCAAAAGAATTTTTTCCAAAGTACCCTGTACTACACAGTCCAGGCAAAATTTTAAAGCAAACTGTAATCAGCTCAAGCATTTTTCACTCACCAATGGAGACAGCAATAGAAAGACCAATAGCACTCCATAAAGAATATCGACCACCAACCCACTGGAATAAAAATATACCAGTAAAATCATTAAAATATTAAAGAAGTAATGATACACTTACATCCCAGAATGCAAACATGTTAGCTTTATCAATGCCAAATGCAGTCACTTTAGCCTAAGGGAGAAAATAAAGAGAGAGAGAAAGAGAAGAGAGTTAAATAGAATCATAACGCCTCATGTTCCAGACCTCATTTGTAGAAAGAGCCACAAAATGCTTAGCTACAGCAGCTGGCTAAAGGAGAGAGAGAGAGATGGTATTATTAATTTCAGATAATGACGTTTGTAACGTACATCTTTAGCAGTATCAAGGAGCCATTGTTTAGCTGAGGTAGCATTGGTAATGGTTTCCAGTGTTGTAAAGGTCTAGAAGAACAAGGGTAAAGATTTACTGAGAGTATACAAAAATATACTGACAATATACAAAGAATATACTGATAATTAGTCCTCCCCTATGTACTAACTATGAATACTTTAAGACACATATTAAACTGATTAATAATAAAAGAATTTTAAAAAGTATAAATTTCCTCCCATCTTTATCCTCCTCTCCTACCTTAGAAGCAACAATGAATAGCGTTGTATCGGGTGACACTTTATTCAGTACTTCGAAAAGATGAGTACCATCAATGTTTGATACATAATGCACACGAGGTCCCTCCCTACCATACGGCTTAAGAGCCTCAGTTACCATGTAAGGACCCTAAACAAAGAATAGACAACACAATCGATAACATTATGTAGCCAGACTATTTGTATTTGAAATGGCTTACAAGGTCTGAGCCTCCGATTCCAATATTGACAACATCAGTGATCTTTTTCCCATTATAACCTACAAAACAACTTATTATCATAATAGCCCAGCTGGTCTTTACCTTTCCATTCGCCTGACCTTACCGCCTAAATAACAACAAACTTAATAATATGCAAAAGGTTTATCATTATTAGTTACTTCAGTAAAAGTCCTCATTTGTTTCAAGACACCATTCACTTCTGGCATCACCTACAAACAAACAACAACAACAACAACAACAATGATAATAATAATAATAAAACTTACATCTTTGCCATCAACGAGGATCGGACGATTGGAGCGATTCCTTAAAGCAATGTGAAGAACAGCTCTGTCCTAATGTAAAATATTAAAAATAATAATAATGATTATTATTATTATCGTGATATTGTAGCAATGCTGCATTTATGTATGCTTCAGTTAAACAAAACAGAAACCATTCCATTATCATGGTCACTCTATCAGAAACTACATCTCCTAATTACTAGTACAGATATATACTTGGATATTATTTATTTTAAGATTGCACATATACATGTATGCACACACAGAGACACAGGTAAATGAGCAGTCTCACTTCGGTAAAGTTGATTTTGTCTCCAGAGAACATCCTTTCCCTCATCTTCTCAATACCGCGACCTCTGGCCTAATTATTAATAAAGACAATTAATTAATTAATGCTTGAGGGTGTATTACCAGTTTAAACAATAATTCGATTGTCTTTTCATTAATTATGTTCTTTGAGTAGTCGAAAAGAATTGCTCCATCATCTCCAACAAGCTCCAGTCTATAGAAAAAGAGCAAATTACTATCAGCCACAGCTGGACATGATAATGTAATTAATGAATGAGTTAATTTATTAATGTCTTGCTACTTGAATTTATCGAAGCGGCCAGAGTCCCCCTGGAAGAGCGACCTCATGTGCCAGCCTTTAGCTTCAGTCTCAAAATGAGCCTTGAGCTCCTTGTACTCTGGAGAAGAAGTCAACGACATTGTTGCTGCTTTTCACAAATTCACAACCAGCCCTGATTCATTAAATGTAGGCGTGGCTCATAATTTGCGTAAATCATGACGTCATACAGACACACGTGCTGTCACGTGTGTCTCGTAAATCAATACAAAAAATATAAAAAGGCAAGCAGCATTATTTGCATGTAGCATGATGAGTTTTGGAAAAAGAATTGACAGCCTAAGAAGCTAAAAAAACAAAAATATAATGAGCAACATAAATCTACAAAGACAATTCACCTTTAGTCAAGCTAAAATTATCAAATTCAGCTGCAAAATAACCAGAAGTACCAAAGCCCACAAAACCTTTACCATTCCCAACAGACACATTACTGGACAATGCAGTGCCATTAACTGACACAGTGGCTGAGCTGCCCTGCATTGATTGAATGAGCATATATACATGCATACATATTATACTGCAATCACTAATGAATAATAAACTCACATTAACATCCATACTCAGTGTATACACAGTATCAGGTTTAGCAGAGAAACTACCACTAGCAACTTTCTTATCACCAGCTATAGAACATGATGCATAATTGATGTGAACATAATTGTCTCATACCAAGATTAGAAGATATGGTCCATGTTCCTGATGTGTCAATCCAGAAGAAAACTCCACTAGCTTTACTAGTACTGCAGCCTCCAGCACTTATTCTTGC